AACACACACCACACACACACACCGACAACTACACACACACACACACACACACAGAACACACACACACGTGGACAATATCAATGACAACTAGACTAGTAAATTGAGTTATTTTAGCACGCCTTCCTGAAGGAAAAGCTGCCACAATACATTATCTTCCATAGCAACCATTGTGTATCCGCGATGAGATCAAACCCCCCCCCCTCCGACGTCATGCTTAGCGTAGTTAGCCTCGCCGCCAGGTGTCCGCTAGCCGACCGTTCCTCAACCACCTAAATCGATTGCTTGCTATCAGGTCCGGAGAGAGCGTGCGCATCGACCTCCCGCCGCCAGTCTTCCGCATAGGAGAGTACAACTATCTCGGTAGACAGGCCCCCAGTAACAAACACAACGGGTACACGCGCGTGGAGCGCCCCCCTGTGGCCACACAACGTCCGCAAACGACGCTGTCGCCGGCTTTGCCCATCAGGTATATGTGACGTCTGCACCCGGCAGACGGAGAGAGAGCATCCTGAAGTGTCTACGCCACGTGGTTTACTGACATGGGCTACCCATGCATTGGACTTTAGCCTCTTCTTCTTCTCTGGCCTTTTCCCAATCCGTTGCGTACTGTTTAGTGTGGTGGTATGTTAGTAGCCATGTTTGTCAAACCCTTGTTGCTAGTCTATTTGGTTTGTCCAAGTAGTAATTATAACAACTAGATCTGTACTACATATATGTGTGTATACGTATATATGTGTGTACTATACACATCAAACGCACGGTACACGCAAACGCACACGCACAAGCCCCGACAACACACACGGCCACACGCACACGGCACACCACACGCCACACGCGAACACCACAACATACACACACACGCACACCACAACAGCACATACACACACGCACCAACACAATTATACACGCACAACACACACACGCACAACACACACACACACACACACACCAACACACACAAACATCAACAACACTGCACAACACACACACACACACTGCCACGACGATGCACATGCCACACAACACACACGCCACGCCACGCACGCACACACGCACACACCACACCACACCACAGACACACACACACACACACACACACCGCACACACGACACACGTATGACATGCTCTGGTAGCATAGCATTGATTGTAATAATCGAACCATGGATTCTCTCTGTTTCAGTTGTATTCTTGTCGTCGCTCTACGTTATATCACACATCGTCATAAGATTCCCTGTTATCTATTCAATCTGTTGATTCATGCTCTCAAACTCTGACTCGCACTAGGAATGTTTGCAGTCTCACTAGTCGGATAGGATGAGTACTGGAACTGTGCGGGGTGGTGTTTGACCACGTCACGCATATTTTTCTATGATCCTCCGTTTAATGTTGACGTGTATTTTCTTGTTCCTGTCGTTTGCATTTTCTCAAGTTGGCCATGATATGGGTGGCGTCTTCGGATATTGTATCTGTTCGTCTCGTCTTATCGACGTGCACGGCCAATTGTTTCATTCAGTTTCCATTGAAAAGTAGAACGATTATTTGCTCCTCTCACAGTTGATCGCGGAAGACAAATAACCTACCACTCGCTGCTGTGATGTTACGTTCCAAGTTTCCGTAGCGTAGACCGTTGAGTCTCGGCTGAGCGTGAAAGCCGACTTGTCGCGCTCGCAATATCGTCATATTTATAATTGAGGTAACGCGAAACACTAGGCGCTTGTGTTTGGATGCGTGTATGAGTGACGGGGTAACGTGGTGAGTTTACATCGCCACTGTGACCGTCATCGACAACGCTGTGATGGCGGCGGTGTCGCGATCATGCGTGGCTCACCCGTGAGTGCCGAGAGCTAGCACTCAGCACATATTACCGCAGCGTTGTGGCTGAACACGTATACACTCAAGTTGCTAAATACCTCCTCTTAGCTGGCAGTGTCTGTGCATCAGTCATTTGTGACTGCGACTTGACTTCACTGTGAACAGGTTGAGACTGGCAGCCATTCCGTCCGTGCTCGTTTTACCTGTTCGCTATATCTGCCCATCTATGTTGCCGGCCAGGTCGGGAGAGAAGAAATCCGAGCCGTCGCGACGGAGAGCATCTAAGAGTTTGATGATTACAATACCTGGGCCAGCAGGAGGCCCTAGCAACAAGCACAAGCGAACACGAGAGTGTGCACCTAGCGCCTCAGGGTAAGCGACGTGCGCGGTGGACGGTGTTCGTAGCGAAAATCGAATGCTCAGAAAGTATATATTTCTCTTCACTTCCCTCTCGCTGCTATTGCTTACCCTCATCTCGCCTCTTCCCTTCTCTTTCTCGTTCGCTCCTCCTGTCTCTCTCGTGCCTCCTGTCTCTGCCTGCTGCCCTGCTGTTCTCTGCCCCTCTGCCCTCTGTCTCTTGTCGTCCTACTCCTGCCCTCTCGCTCTCCATTATTTATTTCTCGTAATATATGTTCTACCCTTGTCTCTCGTGTCTTTCTCTCATTTATCTCTTTCTCTCTCCGTTCCTTTTATATATATATCAGTCCACTTCTCGGTGATGTGTTTCGTCTGCCAGTCCGTCCCGTCTGTCTCCATCCTCTCTCCTCTCCCGCCACACACACATACACACACGTCATTTTAGAGTCCACCGTGTCTCCTCCTCCCTCTCAGTGCAGGAACCGATCGCTCTGCCCGTCATCTCGGAGGAAGGCGCAGCGGTTGACAAGCCGGGAGTGAGCCGATTCCGCCCGACCTTGCTCATACCTACCTGGTCCTCCACCGGCCGAGCAACAAGCATTGTGGCTAACGAGGAACCAGTAGATGCTAATGCTCAGCTTCTCGCGTAAGAGGAGGAGGGTGAGGAAGATGGGAGGGTGGAGAGGATGGAGAAGCGATTAGATGTTAGATGGAGGATGAAGGAAGAGGAGGAAGATGTGAGGTAATGAGATGATGGAAGAGATAGAGCTGAAGATGGAGGGTGGAGAAGATGGGAAGGATAGGAGGAGGATGCGAAGATGGATGGAGGCGGTTGGTAGCATGAGCGATAAGGAAGTATGGAGAAGGATGGAGTAGTAGGCTGAAGATGCATGGAAGAGGAGTAGAGGAAGATGGAGCTGGAGGCGAAGATGCGAGGAGATGGAGGAAGAGGCAGTTCGCGCGGAAGTCTGTAGAGTCCATGCCTAGGTTTGAGGGGGGAGTGCATGTTAATTTATGGAGAGTATGACACCCTATGTGACGAGCTTCATTGCCACACACAGCCTCTGGGTCAAGAGTTTGCATTTTATACACCCCACACCCCACATCCCATCCGATAGCGATTGTTCGTGTGTGTGTTTTTCACTCCTCAGTAGAATTTACAAATTTCTGAAATTAATAATTGGCCTATAGAGGCTTACGGTAGAGTAGGTTGAGATCGACAGTTCTCGTGAAAAGCGCGTCGGTCAGGCTCTGATCGCTGTTTCGTCGGCTAACAATACCTACATGATGCGAACAGCTTTGCCTTAGTAGTAATCACACGTTAACATGGAGCCACGCATGCGCGAGAAAATACACTTTCTGTGCCATGCTTGCAACAAGCTTATTAGTCTGCGGTCAGTCTGGCGCTCAATAACGAAGTTTAGGTTTCCTGGTAGAATAGGCTGGTTTTACATTTACAAATCAACTCGAGTTTTTTGGCATCGAAACCTTTACATACGCGAGGTTATTTGTAGCGCACTTTCAAAAGAAGAAAAATTACAGTAACTGAATCCAAAATTGTGATTTTTTGGACAGCGGGACTCCGCGCGGCTGTTCGTGCGAATTCCGCATTCGGGGCGGGTTTTAGCAAGGATAGAGTCAAAACGTGATGTAGTCTGCTGTATTCATACTAGTGCGTGGGGTGTGGGTGCGTTAACGGTAACAAGTTCAGAATGGGAGCGGCAACAAGGTGAAGGGGTGTATTGATTTCGTCAAAGGGAGAGTCCGGTCGCGGGTAGTCCGATACTGGGCTGTGGAAGGTGGGCGAGAGTGGAAGGAAACAACAGAATGTCAGACGAGTGGGGCGGCTGGTAGCCGAGTGCCTTTCTTGCCAGAAGTGCTTTCACAAACGCTTCTGCCAATAACTTTGCTATACATTGCCTCTCCTTGCGAATCTTGATCACAGACGCCTCTGCCTCTTGAACGCCTGAATAACGTGTAGCTGGCCAGGAGGCGTTGCCTCTCCTTGGAATCTTCACAGACGCTGGCTGCCTCGATTCGGCCTGCCTAAGACGAATCACAAAGCAATAAAAAAGGCCGTCGGTCCTTCAATGCGTCCGTCACGGCGCGCGGCGACCGGTGCGACCAGGTGGAGCCCACGCTGCGATGTCCGCTGCTGCACAGCGGCCAGGCATTAGCCGACGACGACACAGAGCGAGAATCTGACTCGCTGGTACGGTGTTGCGCGCGGTGTATGTTGCGTTGCCGTCGCAAGACTTCACTATATACACACAGTGCATACATACAGATCAGCAGTAGGGAGAGAGGAGAGGAGAGAAGGAGACGGAGAGAGAGAGAGAGAGCAGAGCAGACGGAGCGTGATGGTGCGGTGACGATAGGAGATAATGAGTGGGCTAGGCATGAGGAGAGAGACGACTAGGAGATAGAGGGACGGTAGAAGGAGTGACGGATGGAAGTGGGTAGAGAGGAAGAGAGAGAGATAGCGAAGGAGAGGATTAGAGAGAAGAGAGATGCGAGAGAGCGAACGAGAGAGGAGAGAGAGACGCAGAGAGAGAGATGATGAGAGAAGAAGGGGAGGTGGCGATGAGAGAAGCAACGAAGACCGAGGGATGAGGAAGATGAAGAGAAGGGGAGCGGAAAAAGGGCGGAAAGAGAGAGGAGCGGAGGAGAGGCTGGAAAACGAGAGAAAGGAGAGAGAGAAGAGACTCGAGAGTGAGAAGCGAGAGCATGAGAGGATAGGAGAGATTTCTGCGCAAACTGTAAAATACATAAAATACGGATAAATCGTAGCGGTTGGCATCTCTGCACACCGCCGCTCTCGCGTGCCTACCTGCTCGTGCAGCTTGAAACCGTGCTGCCGCCTGGTGGTCTTCTCCTCGGTGATGGGCAGGCTAAGATCGAGGAAAGGTTCAAGGATCTGTGATACACTATGGCAGTCCTCACACGCCACCGTACTCAGCAGCTGTCCGCCGAACACCGCGTCGACGAACGAGTGCTGCGCCGTGCGGCCGTACGCTAACGAGCGAGAGTATTAATTAGTGTTAATTAAAGTTGATGTTAAAGTATTAATAAAAATTAATTTAGGACTGTACCCTGCCGATTCCCATACTAGATCGATTAAATGGCAATTGGATATTAATTAAAGTAAAATTAATTTAGGACCTTAGGCCGCCAAGTGCAAATTAGGGCCGTAACTAGCCGTGCATGAATTAGTTTAAGTATTAATCAACATAAAATTAATTTAGGGCCGTATGCTTCTGAGCGTGAATTAATTGAAATTATTCAAAGTGAAATTAATCTAGGACGGAACTATGCCGTGCACGAATTATTCAATGTATTAATCAAAGCAAAATTAATTTAGGATTGTAACCTGCTGAGTGCAAACTAATTAAAATTAATCAAAATAAAACTTAGTGAAGGTTGTACTCTGCATAGCCTCGTACCTGATCAATTAAATTAAAATTAAAACTGATAAAATTAAAATAAATTTAGGGTCACACGCTGCGACGAGGCTTGAAATGACCAAACGACTAAACTAAATGACTCACGACCTTATGACCTTGACTTCCCACCGACTTCGCAACCTTGACTTACCAACGCCTCACCGACCTCGCGACCTCGACGCCTCACTGACCTCGACCCTTATGACCTTGACTTCCCACCGACTTCGCAACCTCGACCCTTATGACCTTGACTTCCCACCGACCTCGACGCCTCACCGACCTCACAACCTCGACCCTTATGACCTTGACTTCCCACCGACCCCACGACCTCGGCGCCTCACCGACCTCGCAACCTCGACCCTTATGACCTTGACTTCCCACCGACCCCACGACCTCGGCGCCTCACCGACCTCGCAACCTCGACCCTTATGACCTTGACTTCCCACCGACCCCACGACCTCGGCGCCTCACCGACCTCGCAACCTCGACCCTTATGACCTTGACTTCCCACCGACCCCACGACCTC